CCGCACCTCACTCAGCCAGTGAGCAGCCGGTCTGTATGTGGGATCCGAACCCTCCGCGGGAGCGCTGCCGCGCTTCCCAAGCGGTGCACTGTAGCAGTGCGCCACCGGGCTGGCCGACAGCAAAGGTTTTAAAGAAAGAAGGCTTTCCCTCAACACGGAATACCTGAACTCACCAAGACAGGCACAGTTCCTCCCACGGATGGTGAGGAGAAGGGAGTCTTGATTGAGTTCAGGCTGAAGTGTGAATACCTGACTGCCCCACCCTCCAGAGGCACTTACTTTATTTTTATTTTAGTTTTTATTATGGAAAATAAAAGATGCACAACCGTAGAGAGACTAGCATTTGAAGCCCCATGGATTTATCACCCAGCTTCAAGAACTCTCAGCTCCTGGCCATCTTGTTTCCTCTATGCCTCCATCTCCACTGGATTATTTCAGAGCAAATCCCAGGCATCATTTTATGCATAAATATTTCATATTATTTAAATGAAGTAGAATCATGTAAAATAGATACGTAACCAAATGCCATCCATTATCACACAAAAGACTAGTTCTTTAATATCAAATATCCAGTTATTCACTTTTCCCTTAAGGTCTCTCAATTTTTTTAATAGTTTGTTTGAATCAAGGTACAAATGAGATCCTATGTTACAATTGGTTGGTTTGTTTCTTAAGTCTCTTTAGAATTGTAGATTCTCTTCCCACTCCCTCCCATCTTTTCTTTATTTTCCCATTGTATTAGTCTACTTCTGTTGCTTATAACAGAATACCTGAAACCAGGTAATTAATAAGAAAACAAAATTTATTTTTTATAGTTTGGAGGTGGGGAAGTCCACAATCCAAGGGGCACATTTGATGAGGGCCTTCTTAGTAGGACTCTGTACAGGGTCTCCTGGCGACCAGGGTGTCACATGCCAACTATAGGCTGAGCAAGAGAGCTAAACTGCTCACTTGCTTTCCTTATAAATCTATCAGAACCACACCCATGGCCACCCAGTAAACCTTCAATGGATCAAGCTATTCATGAGGAATCTCCACAATCTGATCACCTCCTAAAGGCCCCACCTTCCAATTACCATAATAGGGTTTCCCACCCTCTTAACACTGTTATAATGGAGATCAAGTCTCCAACACATGAACCATAGGAGGACGCATTTAACCCACAGCACCCATCTTTAAATTGTTGGTCATTTGCTTTTGGAGAGTCCTGGGTTTAACCCAAGAAATGTCCAGCTGCTGGATTGTCTATGGCTGTCTGAATGAAGTGGAACTCCAGCTAAGCAGAGGAAAGAAGGGTTATTCTCTGCTACGACACTTTTCCGTGTCCTTTAAACTACTCCTGAGGCAGCCCTGGTTCTGTCTGGCTTTTGACTTGGATGTAGCTCATTTTGCTTTGTAACTCAGAGCCATCCCCCATGGATGGAACAGAATTCATTATTTTTTTCTGGGTCTATCTGTTTTGGGCAGCTTCAGTTTTAAAACACCTACCACATGGCTTTGGTTTCATTTTGGTGGGTTCCCTGGCTGCCAAGATTTTGGTTAAGGTGGGAGTGTTGTTACAGAACTGGAAACAGTGAATCCCACAAGACATAAAACACCTACCACATGGCTTTGGTTTCATTTTGGTGGGTTCCCTGGCTGCCAAGATTTTGATTAAGGTGGGAGTGTTGTTACAGAACTGGAAACAGTGAATCCCACAAGACTAGACATCACTTTGAGGGCCTATCCCTGGGGAA